GTTAGCACTGTTGAAATGCTGAAACATTCAAGCCGTATCCACTTGATCTGCTTGTGCCTTTATGCTGTCCTGATGATGAACTAGAGTCAGGTGGTCGCATACACTGTAAAATTTATTGTTGTGAAAAGCTTTCAACTGAAAATGATAACAACAATATTTCACAAGTTCATTCTGGCTGTTTTTCAAGTGTAACCTCTTCCTCAAAGGTACCACTTGTGGTTTAGTATCAAGATGGGGAGGAATAGCTTATCCATTATATATATATATAGATAGATATAGATAAAGATATAAATATAGTTATAGATATATAGATATACATAGTTAAGATGATTTTATGTATACAGAACTGTTTTTTCTTGTCTTCTAACAATGAAAAAGAGCTCAATTTCAAATCAACAATTTGTTGCAGCAACTCTTCCTCATATGTCTGGGGCAGCCATGATAGATTTAGAGGTCAGAACTACAGTCGGCCCTTTGTTCAGTGTTTAAACCTGGCTTCAGGGCTTTGACGTGATGATTTTTTCTTTGAAACTGAGATTGTAATCTTCAACTTCAAGTGTAACGCGCCATGTGACTACACATTTTAAGAGAGACCCCAGAATGTCAACACCATTTACTTTATCTCGAAAGTCTTATGCGGAATGTTGCTGTTATCCTCAAGGTAAATTTGATTTTTATTAGCACAGCTTCTGGCCATGCAGATTTTCAGTCACCATCCTTTTTGTCTTCTTCTCTCACCCTCATCTTCGTCTCTTTGTAATTTCGGGAAACTGTAACGCTGGTGAATCGATGTAGGATGGCGGGACGGGGCCCAGCTGGTTCAGATGAAACAGGTAATGGTAAATCAATGAAAGCACAATAAACTGCGTCCCCGCGAGTGAGTCTGAAAGCTTCGAACACCCCAATCATTCTGGACATCATCAAGCAGGCTTTGTGGCTTTAAGTGGGGGCAGCACTTGAGAGCTATCAATAAATCCATGTGTCCACGAGAAGACCGAACTTCAATACCACTGGAAAAGGTGAGCGTCTTCAAATGGTTTAGTAGATGAGGATGCAGACTTAAGGCCCCTTAAAGAGCTGTGCAGTTAGAAATCAGTCAATCAATCAGTCAATAAATCAGTGGCAGTCCCGTGAAACCCTGTGCCCGCCACTCTGTCCATCACATGTTCGAAATGGAGAAAAGAGAGGCTGTGCTGAGCAAGACCAACGGGAAAAGAAATTATGCCGATAAAGGATGCGGGGAAAGCTGCAGAAGAAACCGGGCAGCCATAGAACAGGCAGTGTCTGTGTCAAGCGTTTTTCTTCTTTATCTTTTCTCATTTAAAAAATAAAGTAGCAGTTTTTTCGAGTGCTGAGCGATTACTTCCTCTGTGGCAAGCCGACTTCAGGGGACTTTTTTAACGTTTTGCTTTCACGTTAAAGGTGATGGTCATCAGAGAAAATGAGAAGGCTGCCATTTTTTTGCTGCTTCCCCACCACATGAACATTATCATGATATATTGTGTTTGGTTGGGTTAGAACTGGGATTGCATGGTGCTGCTTCACAGCCATCCTGTGTAGAGTTTCCATGGGTTCCCCAGTTATAGAGTGCCCCTCATTTACCCTGAATTAGATTATAAATGTCAAGAAAATGAATTCGAATAACAGGTGTACAAAACTATTTATAATTAACAGAAGCAGTTCAGTTCTTTCAAATAAAAAAAAACTTTTCAAAATGTTCCCATATTTATGGTCAGAGTCTGTAATCCCCGTTTGGTTTTGCTTAGCATCAACTTCAGGTACTGCTGCATCTGAACTGGGGAGGTGAAATGATTTGTTCTGGATAGGTATTTTCTGTTATCTAATGTCATTTTCATATGCCAACAAAGCCAGACTGGTAACTGACACTATTCGAAGTTCCACCGTAGGGAAGTTATAAATTACAATGTACGATTTGTCGTGAGAAGTCACCAGTAAAGTGGCCATTACGAGGGAAGTGGTGTGGGTTTTAAAAACGTTGGGCTACTTCTAGGCTGGACAAGACAAGAAAATGGTTACACCGACTGTATCACAGGCCCAACTTGAAAATGGGAAACATGAATGATAGGCAGAAAATGACAATTTATGCATCTCTGTATTACTTTGGTGTTCAGAGCCCATAGACTATTTTCAGTAGTCTCTCTGCTCGCACAATAAGGTGCTTCAACAGTTATTAGGCTCAACAAATAAAAAAAAAGGAGAAACAGGGATAGAGTCTGTGGAAAAGAGGGGCGGATTGGACTTGAGCTGGCTACTCCACATCCCAGAGTGGCTCTGCTTAAATAGAGGATTAGATAGACAGATGACAAACGAGCTGCAGCATAGCTGCTCTGTGTTTTCTGACCAAAGTGTGTCACAGATATTGCACTGAAAAGATCAGGGAATGGTGTGGGAAATTTGTGGGAAAAGAGCACAAAAACTCCCGTCAGAAGGCTTCTATTGTGAATTGGTGCTTAACCGTTGAATACAACTGAAATGGATACTTTTAATTGCAATGTAGCACATATGTCCTCATACAGAGAGAAACTCCATCTAGTTGAGGCTTGGTCAAGCACAAAAATAAAAGATGCATCGACTTTTTTGGTCCTATAAACATGGAAATGCTTTGGTTCAAACAGGGCACCTCGGTCCAGCTGTTCAGTCTCTTCAGCACCACCTACCGAATGAGCAGTGCACGAAGAGACGAATAAAAAAGAAGACACACAAACATTATGATGAATGAAGGTGGACTTCATGCACACAGACGGAATGATCTATTTTGTACCCGTTTGTCAAACTTAAAACACTATGATCTCTGCCACCGTACAAATAAAAAAAAAAGGTAAAATTACATAGATTGTAAAAAACTATCATCGCCATATTTAGACGGAAGAATCCTTTAAAACACACTTTGGGCCTGTCTTGCTTCTTCTACAAAGTCAGCGGGAACTAATTCAGTCTGGCTGTTTCATGACAAGAAGTCACTAGAGGTCACTCTAGTTATTTGGAATAAACTTGTCACGCACTCAGTGGGTGTTTACTCACCGGCTCTTCTCTGGCCTGAAACGCTAAGTGCCGAGGCCTTTTTTCCAGTTACACGGTAGACAAAAAGCTCCTCGTGCAGCACTTTACATTGAGACACACATCTGCGATTTCAAACCTCCTTTTATCCTTTTAAGAACATGTTAAGACCCATGGGAGTTCCAATTATTCGACACTAATTTCCACCCTGCTCAACACTCTGCAGTTCCCCCCCGGTTTGTACAGTACGCTCAATCAATCGCCTGATTGAACGGGAGTCTTTTTATAGAAAGAAGTAAAGAAGATTGGGTTGAATCTGGTGGTGTGACCTTCATTGCAGCATTCAGTGTCACGTGAAAATGGCCTACCGATACCTTTCCAGCACCAACATCCCCTTTCAGTCGCCAGCAATTAGAAATAGTTGTAATTCCAGACAGCTTTGTTGTAAAATTACCCCTCGCTATCGCCTTTCTATTGCACGTGTGTGTTTTATGTGTGTTTCCTCGCAATCGTGTGAGTGACCGCGCGGGGGTGTGCGTGCATGTGTGCGCCGGTGTGTCGGATTACACCCAGGCCTCTTTGAGATGGTCCTAAAGATAGTGACCAGACATGAGTTTGTTGGTTTGGTGATACGAGTAGCAGGGAGTTTACAACCCAGCAGAACACACCACAGAAAAAGACAGGAAAAACCTCCAAAAAGTGGAATGAATGTGGATGGAAGAGGCTGCTCAATGTCTTCAACATTGCAAATATCATAGAATTAAATTAATTAATAACTGGAATTCCAAATAAAATGAAAAGAAAAACTCTTGCTAACCAGTATCTATTCATAAAAAAACACAGAGAACATTAAATAATGACAGTGGACCTAAATATCTAAACTTAAATTTGACATCAAAAACACATCCCAAAAAGTTTGGACAGAGAATAACTGAATTCCACAAAAGTAAGAGGTACTGCCAGGAAACAGCAGGAGGAACACGCTGCAAATAATTTAGTTAATTGGAAACAGGTCAGTTATATGACTGGATATAAAAAAAGAGCATCTCGGAGAGGCACAGTCTTTGAGAAGCAGTGTGCAGAGATTCTATAATCTGCGAGGGACTTGTGAGCAGGAGGCATAACCAGAAAATCAATACTGGATGCCTGTGCCCACGGGCTAGACAACATAAAAGAAAGACAAGAATCTGTCATGAGAAGCCCTCAGGAAAACACCCCCAGAAATCATTGTCTGTGAACCCTTTGCACTTCGTCATGCAGGCCAGTGCTCTGGAATACAAAAAACAAGACATGATCCAGAAGCAACACTGTCTTCTCTGGGAAAAAAAAAACAGGGAAAAGTGGGAAAACATCCACAAACTGGGACATTTGAAATACATCAAGGAAATGGTGGATGTGATGTCCTTCAGATAATAGAGGAAAAGGCTTACCCAATTTGTTACTAGCACATTTAATTACAAGTATTTTGGGGTGCTGATGGAGCTGGCTACTTCTGGAAAGCAATATTGGTCTGACAGGTATAAAAGGTACCCAGCCTTCATTCAGGCAAAGTCTCCATTCAGGCAAAAAAGTCTCCTTAACTTTGTGTGTGTCCAGTAATCTACTGCGAAGAACGCATGCAAAATGATTTTTTTTTAAAAACATTGCAAAGTGTTTGTGTTTACATCCTGTTCTGATGGGTCCTCATCAGGACAGCAAGCAGCTTCTCATAAAACATGACAGCAGATGTGTCAAAAGGCATCATCATCATCACCACGGAACTGTGTCAAGAAAACACTTTGTGCCCCGGAGAAGGCGGTTTTAATTGAAAAACCCTGCACTTCTCCTTTTGTTGCCTGCCTTCTTTCTTTTGCCCCCTCTTTTCTTCCTCCTTCACTCCTCTCTCAGTCACCTTTGCAAAAACGTGGACCCTTTTATTTTATTTTCTTTTTCCTCTCCATCACCACCTTCCCCGCAGATGAGGCAGATAACGCCCGCTTCGCCCTACTAATGCCGAGAGGAGGAGGAGGGGAGGAAACGAGGGGAGAGGAAAGGACGCGAGGGAGCAACGGGAGAAAGGAGAGAAAAAAAGAGGGAAGGGGGCGGGGGGAAAAAAAAGAGAGAAAACCGAGAGACAGGGGTTAGTGGATGTAGCTCTAGCTGTGGGCCGGGGGGTGAGCTACCTAACCCGGGCTGCTCGGCTGAAATATCCATGGGTGGCTGTGTCGGGAGCCACCACGACTCTTCTGGCAGCTTAAACGAGAACTCGGACGGCACTGGAGGTAACTTAAACGCTTTCGTCGACGCATTTTTTGTGCTCACGCGCTCGGCTGTTTGAAGGGCTTCCTCCAGGTTTTTTTTTTTTTTTTTCTTCTGCATGTTGTCCTGGTTGCAGGTTTCTCCTTCCCCCCCCCTTCCTCAGTATCCGAGCCAGACAGAAGCCGCCGGATATCTCACGCCTCGCGGCCGCCCGTAAAGCCGCCAAAGCCCTTCTCTCCCGCTCGGTACTTTCCAAAGTGCACCCACGTATTCGGCGCTACGTTTGTCCCTCTTTGTTCTTTGATGTTGACTGAGCTAGCCGGCTAAAACGCAGCTAGTTAGCTTGCTAGCTCCGTCCAGCGAATATGGGTCACGGGCATCAGTGGTATGCGAGAATATCGCTCAGGAGTGATTTGGTGTGATTTGAATTATGCCCCGACTCTAACGGCTAACTTCAGCTCCCCGTTGGCTCTCCACGACGCTGCATTTAAGCTTATTCTACATTTTCTACATGAGTTATTTTTTCTCTTCGCCCCCCTATTATAAAGTGCTAAGAGGAGGTGTCACAACTTAGTGCTGCAGCTCAATAGGGGAAGTGTGTGTGTGTGTTTTTAATAGTTCCCATGCTGTGAATAAAGGCCCACGACGAGAGAAAACATCCCCTGCCAGCTGAAAAAAGAAGGTAGAGGTAGAGGGCTGCGTTACAGATGCTGGGCTGTGTAGGTTAGAAAAAATAAACGGCACAGGTTGAAGTTTACATTTCAGAGATTGATGACTGCAGGGGGGGGGACCCGGTGGAGCTTTTCTATGCAGAGAAGGGTCGTTTGTCCTGCTGATGGGCTACTGCTCCTACCAGGGGGGCTTCTGAGAGCTGTCTTCCAGCAGTTTGCATAGGACAGGCTGTCCAAGGTTCATATAAAAAGAGATAGTTAAGGCAAATCTGAAGGCACATGGAGATAGCTGAGCTGTTCAGACAGAGCACGTCTTTAAAAAAATGTGTGTATATCCATGTATAGTGAATTAAATCCAGATCAAGTGTTGATGGCAACTTTGTAGGACTGCTTCCCGGATGGTGTGTTCTAGGGAGGGGATCCGCGCCGGGTCACTGAGTTGTTTTAATTGCCGGCTGAGAGCTAGATGTGAGCCAGGGGGAGGCGACTGAGCCCTCAGAGATGCTGAGATAATGTGCGATTTCCTGTTTGTCTTCCTCTCCGTCTCGACGTCTCATCTCAGGCCTTTTACTCGGCTGCATGTCACTTTTAACTTTTGTTTAGTGTCTGCGGGGCTGTTCGGCCTCCACGCAGACGCGGCCCTAGCTGTTGCACGCCACCTTCGCTGTCACTATCGGAGAGCGGACATTTAGGCCTGGATGTGTGTACGGTTCTACTCTGATGAAGCAGATGTCCTTGCCAGCTTTACGTAGTCTTAAGTGGGACAATAATGTGGTGTAAAAAATGCTACACGTTGTGGCCTACATAAATCCTTAAGGGATTCTGTCAGATGCTCAAGGACGGCCAACTAGGCTGGTGTTTAAAGATATGATTTAAAATTATTGGCAGGCTCTTCGGTTCAAAATTAGGCTCGTGCAAAATTAGTATTGTTAAAGTGTTTGATTTGGTGGCATTTGAGCACTTGTTTCCTAAAACTGCCTCCTCTAACTTAATGGGGCCCTCCATTTGCCTTTCAATCAAAATGTTCCTATATTTGTGGCTGAGCTTTGTTTTTTTAAATTTATTTATTACAAATTAAAACCATGATGTGAATTAAACATGTAAGAAAGGATTGAAAAGGGATAGAAAATCTTTGCCCTTCCAGTTTGGGGCAACCCATATTCAGTGTCGGGGGATTTTGGAATGGGGGACTGAGTTGTGAAAATATCACATTTTGTAAACATTCATCTAGTTGTTTATACCTATGAATGGAAATGTGCCTTAACAGTCTTGGAAAGTAATCGGCTGATCATCTAACGATCCAAACAAGTCAAGTACAAGCTGGCAAGTAGCTCTGGTGATGTTTGGCATAAAGGCATAAATCAAATGATTTATGTTTTACAAAGGGCGATACTCTCTTTTTCCTTGTGGTAAACGCATCCTTTTTGACTTAAGCATCATTTTAAAATGCCAATCGTATCCAAGAATCAGAAATGAGGATCGCATTTTGTCTTTAGGAGTTCAGAAGCTCGGCGTAACTGTTGGCGTGTAGGTCTGCCGAGTATCCAAACGCATTCACCAATTCGCCGTAAACAGTCGGCTGGAGGTTATGTGATCAGAGTACATGTGTACCAGCAGTAGGTGTAACTCAACACCCTGATCCGGCATCATCTTCTCGGTCCGTGCGCTGCACGGTCACTCGCACACACGCACACTCACACACACACACACACACACACACACACACACACACACACACACACACACAGAGGCACACGTGTCCCCGCTGCCCCGTACCTGCCGCCCCCCTTCGCTGGTGATCCAGATGGTGTTGTTCATCAGCCATCCCGCTGCAGATGGAGCACCGTTTGATGCTGCAGGCACCCCAACCTTTAACTGGGTTTAAAAACAGAGCATGATCGGCCTCTGCGGGCCAGCTCCACGGTGTTTAATCCTGCCTGGTGCGGGGGTTCAACATTTCTGCCTCAGCTCGGATGTTTGGCCGAACAAACTTGGGAGGACACATGCTTTGTTTTAGATCAATATCAAGTATGATTATGGTCTGGTTATTTTTCCTGTTCTCATTTCCATCCTCTATAAAATTCTTTTGTTTTGCTTCTGTCCTTATCTTGGTGATTCCACCCATGCTTCCTTACCGATTCGTCACTTCCTTCATTCATTCTGGTTAAGCTTCTTTTCACCATCCCGTGTTCCTCTCTCTTCTTCTACCCTTCTGTGTCTCTCTCGTCCTGACTCCCAGTAGCTCTTGGGCGTAACCAGCCCCTAAAGAGAGAGCGGCCTAAATGGAAAAGCGACTACCCGATGACAGAGGGCCAGCTGCGCAGCAAGAGAGATGAGTTCTGGGATACGGCGCCAGCGTTCGAGGGCCGAAAGGAGATCTGGGACGCGCTGCGGGCCGCGGCCAGCGCCTTCGAGAGTAACGACCACCTCCTGGCTCAGGCGATCCTCGACGGGGCCAGCATCACACTGCCGCATGGTAATGCACGCTCCCACTGTAATGGATGTTGGCGACAGCCGATGATTCATGTCGCCCTTGCCAGACAGAGGGGGCACGTGTGCACGCTGGGCTCAGAGCAAACGGGCAATCGTGGGCCCAGCCGAGAGGCCACAGCAGCCTGCTCTCATAACCCACTCTACCTCCATCACTGCTTCCGTTGCTGACTCAAAGGCCTATTAAGGGCTAATCCACTCTGGCAGTTAAGGAAATTTGTTTTACTTGCGCTTGTTATGACAAGTCAGAAAGTCTGCCTCTCTAATAGGCCGCAGGATGTGGGATGATTATGAGGGATGTCGTGAGACGATTCTATTAGGACAAAAACGTACACTGACGCCATCAGACAGTAGTTCATACCAATTTTAAAGAATTGTTATTGTTTATGATAAAATTGGCTGAATTTATTATCTGAACTATGTAGTAAAGCTTCCCCAGGAAATATCTTTTTATGTGTAAATAATGACACGAAGCTGAAGCACAAGGAACAGGAAATTAACTTTACCACATTCAACTGTTCATTTCTGCTCTGGAGAGTGGTTTCTGTTCTGCCCCTTTTTATTGTCTCACTGTTATTGACATTTCAGAGAAAATGGACTCAAATATGAGCCTTTGCATCATTTAGGGTGCACTTAAAGGGCGTTCAAGACCACATTTCGCAGATGATACTTCAGCTGTTGGGATGCACACTATGTTCCGCTGGACAAATCGATAAATAAAAGATTAAAAGGGATGTGTTCCCGGTCCCCCGAAAGTCGGACTAAATTAAGTAATAGCTCACAAAGTATGTCAGCGGGAGTACACACTCGTAAGCGTCCACGTGCGGCTTTTGTCAGCTGTTCTCTTTAACCGTTCATCATAAAAAAACAGGTCCACCGTGATTTCCTGTTACTGTTTTTTCTTATCCGATTTGTGATTTTCTGGAGCATAATGAATGCACGGCATAAATCTTTGATAGTTTGCTAATTTACTTTTGCTGTTGCAGTGGAAATAAATGATGCATATAGGGCATCAACTTTGTGTAAACACTTTTTGTATTATTTGGATGGAGGCGGTGAAAGTTCAACAGTGTTTTCTAACTTGTCAAAGCCGTACAAGGGCTGTGTTGGAGGGATGCCGCTGGACTGATCAGCACAGAGCACGCTGGTAAAGTGTTCTGAAATGCTCTCCTACCAGATGGCAGCACGCCGTCAAGGCTCCAGTGGCTTCTTCAGCACCGGTTCACTTCTGCTAGCAGCAATTACCAACTACAGTTTGTGAGGGATAAAAACATGTACTGTGAGATTGAATTATTTTTATTTTTTATTCACTTAAGTTCATTATAATTTCCCAACTTTTTTCATAGGAAGGACCACCTACATTAGATCATAACTTGTCATGTGATACATGCCATAATATTAATAGTAACTGAATAGTCAAAATTCCATTTTTGTTATGGTACTCGTATCTATAATGAGAGAATGTAACGTTGACGACGGCCTAATTATTTTAGTTGGTGTGTCAATCCTCTGAATAATTTAGTTTCAAATGAGGATGGGGAAAGACTTTTTTCTCTTGTTAGGATGGTAACATTTAGTATGACACAATGAATGAATGTCTAAACATAAAAACATAATCTAAAAAATATTCCAAAATTTCTGCGCAGTCGATCATGGCAGCAGATTAAGTGAAAAGAGAGTGGAACAAAAATAAATCTGTGCTACTCACGAACGCAGCTGAAGCCCAGGCCTGGACCCATGTTTTAGAGGGAGCTTAGCTGATGCCAAGCTGAGACAGCGTTAGATACGATGGTATCAGGTCACTTCTACAGGTGTCATCTGCAAATGACACCTGGATGGATACCTTCTATTCTCATTATGCTAACAAGACTGAACGTTGTGGTAAGCTAGTTAGCCAGTCAGTCAGTCATGTCATGTCAGAATATTTCCAAATGCAGATAAAAGTATACCAGATGCCAGTGGTGGGCTTTTCCTGGAAGTAGGTGATCAGTATATAGCCCTGTTTTGTTCCCCTCAGTGTTCTTTTTTTTTTTTTTCCAGGCCAGATCAGGTCCTGCTGGGCTGCAGCTGTGAATTCCCCAAACCTGACATCACTGTTTCTAGGCGTTTTCGCACATGAACATTAGAGATGTCCAGCAGACTGTGCGCACGCTTTGGTGGCGTCCTTCTGGGCGGTGGTGGCTCTGGCGGGCGGAGGGCTTTCTGCCGGACACCCGCCCTGGTCAGAGGAGGTGCAGAGCAGCAGGCCTACATGAGATGATGCGGTTTGTGGATGAGACTCCTTACTGTGGCGTTAGGAGCGCTGCATGCGTCTGCACTAAACTCTAGGGCTCGGAGCCAGCAGAAGAAGAAAGGCTTACCGGCACACACACACACACACACACACACACACACACACTCAGTCGCACAGCGGTCGCAAATGCTTGAAAACGCCTCACGCTTTGTTCAGACATCGTCATACCTGCATGTGTTCTGCAGATTTTATGAAGAGGCCGGGTGGAAAATCACAGCCAAAAGTTTGGAGGGAGCTCCAGGCTTTGAGGTTTTCACATTCTGCCGCCTCAGAACAACTGTAGGAGGTTTCAGGGCTCCAGTGTGTGTATGTGTGTATGTGTGTATGTGTGTATGTGTGTGTGTGTGTGTGTGTGTGTATGTGTGTGTGTGTGTGTGGCGTCTGAGCTCAGATCAGGAGCATCATTGTCACACAGGACATGTCTTCCCTCTGCTTTTTTGTTTTTTTTTCAAGGCAGGAGTTAAGGAAAGGGGTGCTCTGGAGAATTCACAATTCAGTTTCACAATTAAATTTTTTAAAACAAGATTGAAAACGCACACACAAATGCGTATGTAGGAGATTCATGTTAATATTGTAAGCTAGATCCAGTTACATATGTTGGGAACTGATTCCTCCTCATTTCCCTCCCTGTGTCTGAGTCAGTCTAGTCAGTGACTGAAGAATGCGAGGTCACTCTAACCCCATTATATGGTTTCCATTATTGCATTTAGTTTTACAGGAAATGGATTGTTAGGATTCATAATTCATCCAATAGGGATCTGTTTTACCATTTCCAGATCACAAAAATATTCAGGAACATTGCTGTCTTTTGAAATAATGCTTAGATAAAATATGTGTTAATAGAAGGTGTTTCTGGTATAGGATTCTTTTTTTTCCGGGTCCAAATAATCTTGATGAGTAAAGTTTGAGGAGGCTGTGGGTACACATTTTGTGTGAATGTTGGTGATATTAAATTAATTTATGGCTTTAATTTTTTCTATCTGGCTTCTCAGGGGGAGAACATTATGTTGCTTTGCCACATGTTGCCAATCCTCATAGTTTAGGAAAAGAAAGTTAAAAGAACTGGGTAATTTTTGTCAACCTCACACTGGGTTCATTACATTGACTTTTTACTTTGTTTATTAGGAATTCTTCCACTGACGAGCTCTCTGTTAGAGATGCTTCTGTGTGTTAGAACAGTTAGATGCCTGGACACTGGTGATGCTAAATATTCACCTTTTGGAACACCAGGTGCCCTTTTTCTCGTATTTAACTGAGGAGGAGATGTATTCTAACGGTGCAGGGATATGTGTTGAAAAGGTAGAAGTTTGAATTGCTTTGCTGCGCTGGATGAGGGAACCTATCCTGGGATTTATTTACATGTTTTAGGTTTCGTTCGACAGATGCACACAAAAACAATATTGACAGACAAAAACAAGTCATTGTAATTCTATAAGTCTTTAAGATCTGAGGTTTAGTTTCATCCATTTAAATTAAAGCTAGTTGTTTTGGGGATAAGATATTTTCCCTCTGCTGGTTTCTGTTGCTGTACGCTAGAATCTGAGTGGGCTGGACTCGCTCTTTCTGCTCCCCGTCACTGACCTGGGCACAGGTCTCAGGCCCGGTTAAACTCATGTCCTCCTCTCCACCACGGCAGCTTTAATTGAGAGAGCAGAGAGACGCATCCTGGGGATTTCGGGTGACTCATCTCTGTCTCATTTTTACCACAGAACCGTTCATCTCACTTTCTCTATTGGGTTGAAACATTGAGGAGTCTGCAGATGTATTCCATTCACATGGGGGGGGGGACCAGAGTTCCTTTGGGGGATTTTAGACAAGTTAACCTCCCAAATCCCAACCTAATAACCTTTCAATCGGTCTGATTCAGTTTTAGTCATGAATGACATTCATTTTCATCATTATTGTGTAGCAGCATCACACAATTTGATTTCCCCCTTTTTTTTCCTGCTTTCACTTTCAGGTCTCGACTCTCTTCACGTTATTGGGAATTAAGGCTTTATTAAATGGAAAAAGCATGCAAATGTGACTTGGTTGCAGTGGTTAAAAGAAGGAAAATGTATATTTTATCTAATTATAATGCAAATTTACCAGAATATTATGGCAGCTCAGGGATTGTAAGGCACTTTTTTCTTTTCTTTTTTTTTTCCCCCTTTGAACCGTAAACTACCAAACCTATCTCTGTAAAACAGGAAAGAATACATTGAGCAAGAACTACTTTGTCGTTCACTTTGGTCATTCAAACTGGCATTTCTCAGTTAATCAACATAAAAGTACCTGCCTTCAGTTATGTTAACCTTTTGATTTAAGCCGTTATATGCGATTAGATGTCGTAATTATAGAAAATCATTTCCACAAGTGTGCTGCTGAGCTAACATGGAAATGAATGACTTCCTTCTTACTGTAATTTATCCTGCATCTGAATATAAACCACTCCACTAACTAAAGAAAAAAAAAAAGTGAATGTATAGGTAATGTGAGATATTTACACAGAAAGATTTTGTAGATGAACAAATCGGATTATAGTCTGTATGTTTCTGTACTTCCTTTGGTTAAACCTCTCGTTGATGTGTTTTGTCTCCGTGCTTCAGGGGCCCTTACAGAATGTTACGATGAACTGGGGAACCGGTACCAGCTGCCGGTCTACTGCCTCTCTCCTCCGGTCAACATGATCGAGGAGCGCTCCGATGACCCCGACGGCTCGGACCCGGACTCCGGGGCGGCAGACCCGGCGGCGGCGGGCGGCGGCGGGGACCCGGGCGCCGGCGGCGGCGGCGAGTGCCAGCTCCGCCTCCGGCTGTCCACGGGCCGCGACCTGCGGCTGGCGGTGCGCTCCACGGACACGGTGGGCCTGATGAAGCGCCGCCTGCAGGGCCAGGAGGGCGTGCCCGCCGCCACCCAGCGCTGGTTCTTCTCCGGCCGGCCCCTGACCGACCGCCTGCGCCTGGACCAGCTCAACATCTCCCGGGACTACGTGGTGCAGGTCATCCTGAGCCAGCGCCCGCCCCCGGAGCCGCCCACCACCCCGGGGCACACGCCCGAGGCCCCCGGACCCGGGGCGGGGGAGGGGGGGCCGGCGCAGACTCAGGAGCCCACGCCCGTGGAGAACTGAAAAGCTGGACACACCACAGGTCCTGCTGTAGGGGGGAGAATAATCCCGATGGACAGGAGAGAGCGAAGGGGGACAACCTCTCCTCTGATGTTGTCCCCCACAAGAGCTCCGTTTGGGCCCATGGAGCACACAGACTCTCTTAATGAGAAAAGACTCCTCCGTTTTGGTTTTACACGTTGAACTTTTGACCATTTTGAAGTCTTTTTAACTGTTCCTATGGAAACCAAACTACAAAAGGAGAACTTTGTCAGGTGGTTTAAAGGGTTTTCTTAGCAACACTGAGACATGAGTGTCCCTGTGTTTCAGTTTCCTAACCAGTTCTGCTCCTGGAGTGGGCAGGCGCGTGTTTCAGAATGAATTTGGCTATCAAGGCTACAGGGTTCAGAGAGTCGAGGGGAAAGTGACGAATCAACAATCCCAACAGTTATTCAGGCATTTTTGTAACTACATGTGAATTAAATAAAGAATACTTCAGTCAGGATCAAACAGCTGTGAAGAACGTTTGGAATGGCGACGTGGACCACAGGTGTTTTCTCTCTTAAGTTTGCAGTCATGATTTGGTAATTTTTACCAAGTTGCTGCTGGATTCAGTACTTTACTTCTCTGTGCTTCACCGAACAATCAAATTAATCACGTAATACAGAAAAAATACATAGGCTTTGAGTACGAATGAAAATGTGTGTGTGTGTGTGTGTGTGGAAGCTCACATGATCAGGACGCAAACCCCACTTCTTCATGTGGCATAAGGATGGATATCAGAAGCAGTTGCATATTTTGATTAAAAAATAGAATGTTTTTAATTAAAGTTGGTCATTGTTTATATTATTTGATCTCCGGCTGATGGTTTTATTTGGCTGTTCTCCTTTTACCACCCGTTTAGGACAAAGCCTACGCGATATTTCCCCCCCGCCGCTGTAACCTGAAACCCCAGATCAGAGGCCATGGAGATGCTACACCGCTTTAGCCCCCGAAAAAAAAACGGTAGTATGTAGTCAGTGAAACGTAGATTCGCACAAATGTCAAAGGATCGTGTTTTAGAGCAGAAGTCATGACAGATTGAGAGTGTAAGCATGCAGTTCCACACACACTGTTAGAGTCCCTCTCTGCTTTGGTCTGGAGGATGTAGCAGGTTCCATTAAAAAAAATTATAAAAACAGAATATCAAGGTATGATTTCAAGTTAAGTCAAGTAGGCTTTATTGTCAATTTCTTTACGTGTTGGTCATAGAAAGAATTGAAATTTTGTTTCTTGCTCTCCCGTGCAGACGTAGACATAAATGAGATAAGTTAGATAAATTAGACATATAATAAGAAAATTGTGTGATATAATAAATAAAAAAAGTGATCAATTGTAACGTGCAATATTTACAAGACAGTCATTCAAGTAACGGGCATGAAGAAATGGACCTCTGAAGACTTTTCTGCCTTTCTCAGTCCATTTAGCTTCGGCCCAGAGACGGAATCAGAGTTTCTCACGCCGTCCATGTTCCACATTCATGTCCACATTCAGCTTATTTTGCATGCTGGAGCTTTAGCCTGTGTTTGTGGACAGGATTTCTGGAGATGATTCTGATCCCATGCACTGATTTCCAGCACAAAATCAAGTCTTTTTTTTAAATATTTTTTTTTATATCGAGTTTCCTGAGGGCCTCCAGTTGTGATTTCTGTTGTGTCTTGTGAGGATGGTTGCTGAGATGAAGAGAAAACAGGTAAATAATCATCATGACTTTTTTTTGTAGTATTCTGTGGTGTGTGGTTTGGAAAAGAATTCCATTTGAAGTTAGGGGAAGAGAAGGGGCCTGGTTTCTTTTCAGAGTAGCGTGTTCAGAGGAAAAACGCCTCAGAGGTGATTTGATTAGAAGTTAAAGAATACGTTGACTGAATAATATCCGTCTGTTACCTCTTCTTTATGATGGAATATTGAAGGTTTGCTGCTTACAGGCATTGGCCTCATAACAGAAAAACCTGCCCTGGTATAGTGTCATTTCAGTGGTTATACTAATGCTTAAAATTGAAAACTCCAGCTTTGATACAGCACATGGGATAATCTTGAAATTGGGACTTTTCAGTGGTTTCTTAGCTAAAACAGTTCTTTTTTATATTTCTCCTATGTCTCTTTTTTCCGTGTTGGCGTCAGGTCCTTCCTTATTCTTGTTCCTACGAATTCTAATGACTGTTTTCCAGGGTACCTCTTCTTTTTTTTTTTTTTTTTTAAAGACATGTCACACAAAGTACAAACCGCTTTACAGCTAAGCTGACCTGGAATCCCACTGGTTCCTCCTTTCACAGAGTTTCTATCTCTATTGTCTGTCCATACTTCCCGTTCCCCAGACACTTTTTTTTTAAAATCTACGCAGCCACCCACTCAAGCTGTAGTGGGTACTGAAATACAAAGGGAATTGTTGTTGATTTTTTTTTGTATAAACTCTTGTGGTCTTCTACACGACTCTGTGAACAAAGCAGAGCCAGTGATGCTCTAATGTCCCTCCTGTGAGAGCTGAAGATTTTCTTTTGTTTGGTTCGTGTACTTCATAATTGTTTTGAGTTGATTTTGGGGAGGGGAAAGGGGGGGGGGGGTGTCTGTTATCTCACTTTCCTCTCAGGTGACATGTGGCACACAAATATTACACAGTGGGGCTTTTCACCCTTCTGCTTTTGTCCTGCATAAATACGGCAGAACTAAAGGCAGAGTTCAGACAGGCAGCACACACGTAGACGATTTCACACCAGGGAGGCTTTTGGATCGACTCAAGGTAAGACCAACACTTCAACTCCCCATTTTAACTTCTCTGCCTGTCTCTTCTGTCTTAGTTATTCATTTTGTGCTGGCATCATTAGCGTTATTCTTATGTTTATATTTTCCATTTTAAGAACCAGATAACTACTTGTTCTATAAAGAAAAATCTCATGCCAGCGTGTGATTATAATAATTAGATAATGGCATTGTCATTTAGTGGAACACATTTTTTTTTGCTTTGTGAAAGCATTCTACTGCTGATTTAAGAGAATGTTTTTTGAAGTTACCTTTTAGCTCACTGCTTTTGCTCTAGTGGGTTTGAACAGCAATAAATATCGTGACATCAGGAAAGCAGATTTAATTTCTTTCTGAGGCAGTGCATTATTTTTTCTGGCTCCAAGCCATTGCTTAATTTTACTCATGCGTCTCAAACAAGGAGAGAAATAGGTCAACATATACATTCTGTAAATGGAAGCAAACCTCAGCCTCACAAGCCGAAAATAATAACTTAATGGAAGTTTATTTAACTTTTTGTGCTTCATTACAGATGCATTTAGCTTTTTGCTGTATCCTCCTCTGCGCCAACCTCTGCTGGGCCAGCACTGACGGTCACCCGGAAAACCTGGACGTTCTAATGGACAACGGTTAGTGGCTCTTACTCCGGTGTGTGTAGGTTAACCTTTCCCCATTTCACACACATGTAAATGGTGACTGACCGCATTCATCATTTCTGCAGTTGTGGTTCTGAGGGTGCCTCAGACTGAGGGCAGCATGGTGGAGGTTCCTCTGACCTGTGGAGAGGATTATCAGAGCAAGGCTGTGTTTTGGAGGAAAAACGGTAATAAAGTTGTTCTTGTGTTTCTTAAACTACCTGCACCAATTCGCAGATTGTGTCCGAGTTTAATGCAAAATCAGACATGTTTCATATCATATGACTCTGTTTGAAATGTTTTTTAAACCGTATTGTGGTTGCAAGTCAGTATTTGTGACATTTTGGGATGCTTGTCACAGGTAGGGAGCTTGTGCCGCCTCTTATTGGAAACAAAGTCAAGGTACTGGTTAAAGAAATGAATGGAGGAAACTACACCTGTCACCTGAGTTCAAACGGAGAATACCTCAACCACACCATGGTCCTGGTCCAACCGGATCAGAATAACAGGACCGTCATCCTGGAGGAGATATCCCCTGACCAAGGTGAGATGAGATAGATGGACGATGGGGCGGGAAGAGAGTAGAAGAGAATGGAGAGAAGCAAAGGGGGTGGATCTTAGAAGCAAAGTGTGGGGTTTGACGGGCAAAAAGAGCGACCCTGAACTGACGCCGTCCTTCCAGGTTACATCCACTGCTCCGCACTAAACTACAAGGGCTCCTTTCACTGCACCTGGACAAAAACGCAGTTCAGATCCCACGCCGCCGTGCTCCTGGTCAGGGCAGAACGGTGAGGAAGTGTTTAAATAAGAAAAAAAAAACAATCCAGGAAAGCCATCGTTGTTTTTTAAATTTAATTCTCTCTGCTGGAACTATGTGTTCTATTCAGTTTTATGGAGGAGATTCCCTGTGAGCTGGATGCTGACGGAGCAGGGGTTCGCTGCCAAGACACCAACTGCCCTTACAGCGAAGAGCAACAGCCCATCTCCCTCACCCTCTACATGTCCAGCTACTTTCGAATGGAGGCCTACACAAAGTCTTTCTACCTGAGAGAGATTGGTATGTGATTTAATTAAACAGGTTGTTTTTAGTGCGTCTAAACAATAAATTAATATTTCATGCACTATTACTTTTAGATAAATCCCTTTTTTACTGGTCATATTTTCACCCAGTCATTTGAACTCAGCTCATGTTTCTCTCCTTTTCTCCACCTTGTTCCTCGCACACATGATCCAGTGAGTCCGGATAAGCTCCCTAACCTGCAGGTCAGCGATGGCAAGGTGTTCACCTGGGACTACCCCGACTCCTGGGAGAAGCCCTGCTCCTTTTTTGGCCTCCAGTTCCAGGTCAACCTGGTCCCCCACGGACACCCCTGCAGCAGCGAAGAGCTCATAGCAGTAAGAGTTCAGACTACAGCGCATAAACTGACATCCAGTTTGGCCAGAAATCCCTCTCTAAAACGTTGAATCTTCTTTTGAGCAGAACAAAACAACGGATAAGACAGAGTACGAGGTCAACGTGAAGACCAAGAAGTACGTTTTCTGTGTGCGGGCTCAGGACAAATACACCCAGGGGCCGTGGAATCCCTGGAGCACGTGCATGTAAGTAGAATAGCGCGGCCTTTGAGAGTAGGAGTTTCTTAGTAAAGTTGTTATTTTGGTGTGAAAATGTATGTCCTTTTTCCTACACACTGTGCTCCAACCTGCTTTTTCTCCAGCGTGAATAAACATGAAGTGAAATGCTAATGCCCGGCACCGCCCTGCAGCCGTGGAAGAAAGAGGAACACCTGGACAGCAAAAGACATGTTCTTCCATGAAACATCGCTTTCTGCTACACAATGCCCAAAGTGAAGTGGATGTATACGTGTACAGTATTTATTAATCATAATAGTGCGTTATTTAAGCAGATTTTGTAATGTGACTTCCTTCACGATTCAAATCCTTTCTAAATGAAGAATTATTGCTTAAGTGTTTTTTTATCTGTATTTCGTAAATAAATTTGATCAGCATCTTAATTTACTGGACTGGCATGTCAATTTGTTTTAAATGTCTTTTACAAACCGGTAATTCATTGAGAAATTGCTAAATATGTCAATATTAAGCCACTCACTTTAAATGACAGAGGTCAACTGACAATACAGACAGCTTGAGTACAAAAAAGGTTTATTGTCATATTTACAGCCAGGCTGTCAGTGGCTTAATACAGAAACCCAAAAAGAATCGATTTCAGTAAATGAGAATTGGCATACATTTGAGACGCCTGAAAACTTCACTATGTGCTCCCAAAACTTCCCCTTCTTCGTCCATAACTTATGATCAGTGTTAACAATGAGTTCGTACATCAAAAGCTGCAATTAGAGAAAAAGCTTTGTTGCTTGTTTATGTCCTTTCCATTTTTTTGTAAGCCCCGTCATCCCTCCATCAGAGAAAACTGAACTATTGTTCATTTAAAGATTCAAAGAAAAAAAAAAAAAGTATTAAAAAAAGGGATCCATTTTAGAGTGTTTGAGCAGCGAGGCAGCGTTTAAAGATGACGTGCACTGAACAGGGAAGGAAACATGCACTAGTTAGCTGTGTGATGGAAGCATTTAAGCTGTAAACCAGTGGGTTTATATTCTCACAGTAGTCTGACAAATTATTGCATATAGTTGGCGGTAAAACAGAAATCTGTTCTTATGCTTAGGGGTGTGGAGCCGAGTCCCTTTGACCGTGATCACTGCTCTTAAAACATTGTGATACTTTTTACATAATGCACTGCTTTCAGCTAGAACCATTTTTAACTGGGAGAGCAACGAGGCACATCAGGTGAGGGTTACTCTTTAGAGACCCAGTCAACTGCGCTGTCCACTTATGGGACGCGGTTCTCACCAATCAGAAGGACCGGCCAGCCTCTTTCTGGAGACTCTGGACTTGACCGTGAGCGGATATCTGAGCTGGAGCTGATGTTCTCGGGCCGGGTGTTTTCTGCCTACCTTGCACGCTGCGCTAGCTACCATCGCTGTAGCAGTAGCAAAATGTATTTGGGGAAAAAAATTTTTAGGAAAGAATAGGGAGAGAATATGCAAATATGTTAATGGAGCCCATGTCAGTGCTGAGCGCTGGTGTTTTGGACTGCGGGGTGAGAGCGGCGTGGACATTTAGGGGTGGAGAGACGACGAGCATGTGTGTGTGTGTGTGTGCATCTTGTGCGGGAGAACCCCGAAGATGGGAAGGTTGTGCCCAGCTCAAGTGCTACTGGCTGATGTAGTTCCTCCTCAGTGGTGCTGCTGCCTCTTGGAAAGGTACCTACACAAACACATAAACACATTCACTCTATACTTCCACCCTGGATTTAAAAGGATCAGTGGCATTGAATCTTATGTGTATAAATGAAATATATTCTATTGTTTGAAGTGGTTATAGTGTTAATTTAGATTAAGCTTGCCTACCTCTCCCAATGTTTATGGTTGAGCCCACTGAAGTCATCAAGTTTGGCGATTTCTTTGAGGTACTGGGAAAGTTTGTAGAGCTCCCTGTCCTTCTCCCGGTTGAGATGGGCCTTCATGAAGGGCCGGATCTGAGAGGCATTCACACACAGACACCTTCAACAAGATGTGCTGACAGCGGTGATGGCGAGCATGAGAGGATGGGAGGCCTACCTTTAGTCCATTCTGTGGATTCATTAGGAAGTTCCGCCCTATGTCATCAAACATGATGGTGTTCTTCCTGTTGTAAAATTCTTCATACTTCCCCCATATCACACCTAAAGGCTTCACCTGGAGATGAGAACGCCACCAAGCACAGTCAGATCCGCGCTATCCTCTGCTTACAAATAAGCTACTAACTGTTAGAAGGCACTTGTTACCCCGGCTGGTTCTCAGACTGAGCCACCGTGTCATCATGCACATCTACCTCATGCAGGAGACGGCCATGAGGATTCAAATAGTTCAGTTCATTCAACTGTCCCTATTGCACATTAACAAGTCCAAATACCTCTCGCATCAGTTGATGCTAACTAAATGATTGGGTAGTTAGAAATGAGCACAATTAAGTGCACGATCCAAAGCAGCAGATCATTTCTATCAAAGAGAAATCTGAGCAGAAGCATCATCTGTGTGTAAGAAGAGCACAGGAATAAAGAAAGCGATGAGCATCTCCTGATTGGTGTGCACCCACCTCCACCACCCCTCGTTTAGGGGTGTGTACTGTGATCATGGCTGCACTGTCCAACATAAATGTTATCTTGTAGTTGGGGTTATCCGTCACTCCCAGCTCCTGCACAAACAGGTTACATTGATTAACACTGCCATCTTTTGGTGAAAAGGTGGTACAGCATCAAAAGACAAAAGAAAAGTCCAGTTTTCGAATTGGAATGCAAAGTTTCTATACTACTTTTCTGGGCAAATAAGCACACTTTTGAAGAAGAAAAAAAGAAAAGCATTAGTAGAATACTTGCTTTCATTTTGGCATCAATCCACTTCATACTTGTAGCAGCTAAAGAGAGACAGCATTTGGACACATTAATAAATTGCATAGTGAAGGAATAAACATGCAATCTGTGTCCAGCTTGAGCTTCCCTCACAAAATCACAATCTTAGAATGTCATCAGATACCAAGCACAACTAGAAACACCTAAACCGTGAGCATAAATCTATCTTTGGCTCCTAACATTAATGAGTGATGAATTTGACTCCTTTCCTTTTGGTTTCTTCTTCCAAGTGAACCAGATGGCCATCTTAGCCTGAACTATTACATAATTAAACAGAAGTGCAGAAAGCAAATCTACGCCTGTCTGTGCAATCAAAGAAGAGGGGGTACCTACACCAAATGACAATATCATAGTCCTCATACGCTGCCGTCAGAAACTCATGAAGGTATGGTCTCATAAGCTCCTGGCCCGTTTCTGCGCATGACTTGTGATCTAAAACACATACATGATCAATTTAGAGGGATCAATTTCAGGAAGGCAACTGATATGCTGACTTGCAATTTTTTACAGTCAGAGCACAATGCTGAATCTATGAGTAAGAGAGAAACCAAAGCAACTTTATCAGTTTCTGACAACTCACCAAACAGTGTGTAGTCCACGTCTAGTACCAGGAGCCTCTTGCCTTCTCTTGGAGGGTTCAGTTCCTCCACCTTGTAGTCCTTCACTCTGCGAGCTATTTTAGCTAGATTCTCTTCTCTAAAGACACAAAGCAGCATTTGTTTCTCAAGCACACACACAGACACAAAACAAGACGCCTGCATTCTCGAGCACCCTTTCTTGAATTCTATCAACCCCCTCGAGCCAAAGAAATGTAATATCTTACCGGTTTTCCACTTCAATGACCTCTTCCTCAATGTCAAAATCGTTAACAACGTCGTCATTCTCTGGAGGAGGGGCCAAGACCTCTTCCTTCACAAAACAATACACATGCAAGGATTAAATATATATATTTGACCCAAGTCAGTGACCAGCCTGAAGGTGGCTCGATGCATAGACCACCTACCAGGCTTTCCTCTCTTGTGCCCATCATCATGATTTTTGTGTTGGGCTTTAATTTCAGAGAGCCCAGCTTCACCTCATCCTCTGCAGGTTTACCTGGAGGTGGAAAAGAGACACAGAAGGAACAGAAATAAAGCTAAAAGACCCAACACACTCCACCACATAAAACAATACCTTACTTTTTTACTATATATCATGTAGATGTGATAGAAATGTGCAAATGTCCAAACAAAGACTAATTAAAAAAATTGAAATGTTTTTTGTACAAATCATCAGAATATTATAAACAATGATTAGCACCAGCAAGGAATTAATTTATCAGTGTGTAATTCAATTGGGTTGGATCTGGTGTCTGGTGCTGGTTTATTATTTATACATTTGGCAAGGGAATAAGTCACTCACCTTTTATCTTAAGTCCTAGTAGTTTCTGTCTCTCTGGGAGAACCCCAGTCAAGGATTTAATGGACTGTTTCAGGTCCATCACCGTATCCTCCTCAGACAAAGAGCTGATGGAGTACTCCTGTCCTCCCCACTTTATTATCACCGACACTGACATGTCTCACGCAGACTCCTCACTCATACACGCAGCTGCAGCTGAAGTTGGGTGTGCACACGCACACACCTTTACGCCAATATTTCCAACTAACAGTGAGGAACATGCACAGCTTAAAAGGAGAGGGGGAGAAGCAAAATAAGGTTAGAGATGCCAGGATGCCACAGTAACAGGGCGCAGTTTCAGGACAGGAGAGTTCAGAGAAGTGGCACACACAGAGGAAAAATCGGAACGCCAGTATCTAGTGTGCATAGTCTTAGCTGAGTATTTTAAGACACAATGGGCAAATGCCAACTATCGGGAAAAGACAGTTTGATTGCCCTTGACTATTTTTAGCAGGAGAAGCTAACAGGGATTAGCTAACAGTGTAAACACGCATTGGACAGCCACGTAACTAGCAAACATTAGGTCACCAAACTAAACAGCCTGGGTACTCTTACCTGTCAGAGTAAGCTCACATGCAATTTCAGACAAACTCTGTTAATTTTAGCGGAAATGGCGAATGAATTAAGTATACGGTTGAGCTTCATTCATGGAGAGGAGCACACCGCTCTGCCTAGCGTCCAGAGTATTTCCGGTTGTGACGTAATACAAGCTTTGTTGCCATAGTGACAGTTTCCTAACTTGCCATGATGGGTTAAAAGGTTCAAAACCTTTTTTTTAATTTACATATTTTATTGCATGATCTGAATATCGTTGCAGAAATCGGGTTACCCTCAGAAATGCAACTCGGTAAAAAAAAAAACATATATAAATATATAGATTAACAATTAAATATTTAGAATGAGCAATATTTGTGGGTATAAATACCACAAATATATAGAGGCAACGGCAGCCTATATTTTTTGCTCGTTGATAAATCGTCCAAATATCGCATGATCTGTTGTCTGAGCATGCGTAGTTGCACTTAGTGGCCCTCCACTTGAAACACTTATCTCAGTTGATGGCAATATCACTTCACAAAAGTGAAAACTAAACAGCCTCTCTTGAGAGAACTGTTTGACTTTGTGCTTTATTGGAGTTGTTGGACCGACGGACTTATTGAGGGGGACTATATCGCGCATGCTCAGTTCATCCTCTGGATCTCCGGTTAATGGCTGCCAGGAAAGATGAACAGATGGGCCCCGTTTTTTCACTGTGAAGCGCACCGACCTAGAGGACCGTTATCTCGAGCGGTTCCAAGTTAAAATGGTCGATAAACGACCAAAAGGGCACACCGAAACCGTTCCTCATAGCGTGAACACGTCGAAACGTAAGTTCTCTCTTTTTTCCTTTAAAGGTATTTGTTCGCCGCTGCAGCTACTAGCTCGTGATATCTACCAGTCTGTTGCTTGTTAGCTTCGCTTAAGTAGGACTCAGTTAGATGCTACGACAGTTGGTTGCGGTCGTCAAATGACTTAAATTAAACGACTTTATGGCCGTAGACTGCAACACACAAACTAATGTAATCTACCAGAGTCAGGTTTATAGTTTTTAATCGTTTGGAAGCCTTGTTTATTGGAGTTCGTAGTTAGTTGGCTAACTAACAGTATAGCTAGCTAACGCTAGCTTTATTTTGTTGGCACTGCGCCTGCTGTCTGCAGCTCATCACATCCACACTGCACGTACACTGTCATCGCTGGTTAGTGGAATCCCTTTTATGTTTCCAACGTGAGCGTCACATCTGTGGTTACCTTTGTCGAACTAAAGTGGTTACTGTGTTCATTTCCTCCCCACGCATAATATTACAACATCCTGACTACAGTTATCAAGGTGTTGCAGTCTTTTTTTAGGCGTAGCTTAGAGATTTTTTTTCTCCCGTCGAGACGGAGGGGTTACTATAGTTCACGGAACGTACATTAGGCGATGCAGTATTCACTTATCCGTTACGTTTGTATAGTCGGTGTTAAACAAAAAACATTAAAACCATCTGTTTCATGCGCTGGATCGTAGTTTGTTTGTTTGTTGTTGCCTCTGCAGTTGTTTTTAGATTGTGTATGTTTGTTTAATTTGGTTGCTGGCACATTGACGAACACTGGGATTCATTGAATTGCGGAGCTGTCACATTCTTTCGTTATTTCCTGGTACTTGGCTAGTGCTTTGAATATAGATTTGGACATTTTCTGATTTGATATACGTGGAAATATATTAATCACCCAGTTATCTAAAAAATAGGATGCCATAACCCTGATTAATATAGTATTTTCTGGGAAAGCTCTATTTATGCATGTAATTGTTTTGAAATGTGAAGGTGCAGTGAAGTCTTGTTCTTAACTGTTAAAGGATAGTACAGTGAAAAGCCTCTATCTTTGGGTCACTAAATTTTTCATGTAAGAGCCATGCTTTTGTTAAACAAGTAAAGTTAAGATATAGCTGTTTAGCTAGTACTGTCGTACCATTTCCTGAAGGCATGAATGGATTAGGGCAGATAAAAATACAGCATTAGGTTTTCTTGTTATATAAGGTGGGATTCTGCAAAGTGATCTCTGTCCACTGAATAGTTACATAAGTAATCAAGATCCTGTCCCGAAGCTGCAGGGATAATAACAGATGGAATTTATTTAAGAAGCTCAAGATTTTGAACAAGCGGGAAGCTTTGCATGAATTTGAAGAGAACAGAAATTTGTCTTTAATGTGTTAAAGTGGCAGGCCTTGAGATGGCTCAGCACGACTTAAATGTGCTGTAAGTTGTGTGTTGTTCGATAGTCCCAAGTAGTGTCTTTGAAGAAAATGACAGGATGCTTCAGTGATATGCTTCCTTTTAACATGCTTCAGAACTAACGTGCGAAAAGACTCTTTGCCGCAGTTAGTGCAGTGTTTTAAACAGGATTACAGAAAAGATTAGCGGTCTTTTCTTCTGTGGAATCAAAGTTTAATCGCTGCCTGCAATATAGTAGAAACAAGCAGAACAGGGCAACGTGACCCTTTTTTATTGCCCTTTGTCACACTTAAGGTGTTGTTTAAAATATCCTCAGTGGTTTTGAAATGTAAATAGTCTTTATTTTATATGTAGTAATGCTATAATGAAACAACACAATCATTAGACTCGTGAGAAAGAGATGATCATAATGACAGACTTGTAACCAGTTGACCTGTTAGAGAACATGTGGAACTTGTGGTTTACATTTGATGTTTTTGCTTTAGATGCAGATGAAAATCACTTGATGAGTTGGACAAGTGATGAAACACTATGTTTAGTGGAAACTTTAATAGTATTTTCCAACTGCAGTCGGCACTAATGGAATAAGGGATGCATCAAGACTGCTTTGTACTCCAGTAGCCAACAAAATGCTCTCAACGATGAATGTTTACAAAAAAAGCTTTTCTAAAATACCCCTAAAAGATGTAAGCCAAAATAAGTCATTGCTGTTTGAGACCTGTATTTTCAAAAATCTTACAGCTTTACATCAACATACGAAATGCACATTTTGGCTACACGGTGGGGAATTAGCACGGTTAGCTCACAGCAGGAGGGTTCTTGGTTTGAATCCCAGGTGGGGCCTTTGTACTAGTAAAACCTATGTTTCACACTATGCTTAATTTGTTTTGAAGCTGCAGCATCCCCATCTTGAATGTGTTTATCTTTCCTCTAATACAAGTTCAAAGCTGAAGTAATCTGAGATACCAGGAAGGGTTGATCATGCATGTTACAAGTCCCACTTTCCCATGGAATCTCTCAAATTACAGGTGGATATGTCATGTGGTCCTTGCAAAAGCAGTGAATGAGTGATAAGAAAACTGAACAAAACAGTGGGATATGGCCAGAATTGTGCTTTTTTTTGGTTTGCTAGTGTTTCAGTATATACTGATGTGTTTGCATTTACAACAAATATGCAGCTACTGGCTCACTGTTTCCCATGTATGGGAACATGCTGGCAGTGGCCTTTCCATTGCCTAGTTTATGTGACTATTTCTTTAATTGATAAACATTGGAAGTTAATTTATTTTTACATATATCGTTTTTGAAAGTACAGAGTAGTCATTTGATTTGTTAAAAAAGCAGAGTCTTATATGAGGGGATAAAGATCAATGGATTGCATGGCAGTGCTCTCTTTGGTAATCATTTGTTATATATTCAGAGATTCTCACACGTACTGGAGGTGCAGCTTTAAAAAGCATTGAGCAGTAGTGAAGATCGGTCTAAGTGGACACTGTGATGAGAGCTGTCGAGCCTTGGTCAGTCCAGAAAACACAGAACACACACAGGGCATGAGGATGTCTAGCTTTTCTCTGAATGTAATACGACATTGCAGAGAAAGTTGATGATGCTTACATGTGAATAAGCAGAATGCACGAAGATCTCATTTATCAAAGCTGACCTAAATCGTGCCTGCTGAAAACACCAGGAGCATATAATGCATTTCTGCAGCTGATTCCTCTTGCTCAGTGGTGGTAATTTGCTGCTGTATTGTATGTCTAAGAAATGGAGAAGCATGGAATGATTTGTCGGTGATTCACTGGATTGGCCGATGAATGATGGATTTAACTACGCATAGCTGTGGAAGAAGCACATATTCCCTCTAACGGGGTTGCCCTATTCATGTGAAATGTTGGGAGTTATGACGGCTCCAAACACCCTTAAAGAATAGAGAGGCGTGTCAATTTGTTTTAGGTAACTGTTTAAACAGCAAACCGATAATGACGATAGTACAGCAGTAACATGAACTTTTATGTCTAAAATGAACAGCGAATTAACAGTGGTGAGCCGGAAAGCTTGCGTGTAACATCAGTGATATGCTATCAGTGAAATGGGGGAGAGAATGTTCAGTATTTTCTTGTGGAGCTAAATGCATTAACACTTGTTTTTTTCATACATCCAAAACAACTTGCCAGTATTGTGCTATATATATATATATATATATATGTATATATAATGAATTTTACATTTACTTCTCAATGTAGATTGCAGATTACGCTAATATTTATGCAGACCTTGCTTTCAGTTTATTTTTATTAGGTCGTCCCTAAACTTCTTGTTAGTCCTCATTACTTTTGGACATCCTTCATGGTTCCCTGCTTCTCTGTGACCTTTATTGACCCCCAAAATCCTCTGCAAGCTTCACGGTATTGAATTTCTATCTCCCACTTTTTCATTTTTATTTGTCTTTCTCCCCACACAGAACACCCACAAGTCCGTGTTTGTGGTCAGTTCTGCCTGCTGATCAGAAGTTAACCTGCGGCCATGGCAGTGAAGGACCGTGTCGAGGCGGTGCTCAACGTGGGTCTGCGTGTTCCCAGCATCATGCTGCTGGATGTCCTGTACCGCTGGGATGTGAGCTCCTTCTTCCAGAAGATCCATCGCTCCAGCCTTTCCAACAACCCTCTATTTCAGTACAAATATCTGGCACTCTACCTGCACTATGTAGGTGAGTGTACCACACACCGACAGTTTACAGCCACTTCTTCTGGACAAACATCTGTTAGATAGTTGGAGAAGAGAAAGTACAGCGCAATAGCTTTGGGCTTTCTGCAAAGCATTATTTTGAAGTTTACCACTTGTCTGTCATCTGTGATATGATCCAGATCTGCATTGAATTCATGTATGAGAGTGTTTGCAACAGTATTGGTTTTTGCAACATTGGATTGGAATTGTTTTTTTTCTTTGTGTTCACCTCCTCTATCAAATGCATTTCCTGGTTCTCTCTATACTGACCGGTCACTGTAATCAGTGTTGCTTGGCCTTGCTGTGACATCAAAGCAGTGAGTGGATTATTCCATTTGACAAGTAGGGTGTGACCAGGGCCAGTGATGTACCTAATTCCTAAAGAATGGATGAATAAACCCAGCCCAAATCCATTCATTTTTCTTTTGCTCATTCAGCTTTGGCATTCAGAGGGCACGGGACATCTGTGCCTGTTGGACTTAATGTGAGGGCACTGTCAGATGTGTCTCTGGCTCTGTCAGACATGAGGAAAAGGCTTCGTCTGCAGCAAGGAAAGCGCTGTCTTGTAGAAAAAACAAAGTGCTAAAAATCACTTTACTGGTGATTGAATCAGTCATTCAAAGGCTTTTTTTTTTTTTTAAATAAGAATTATTTTTCGTTTCTCAGTCAGTACAGTTCCTGCTTGTTTTGATGCCACTGCGAAGCCACACGGCATAAAACGCAAGACTCCATTCCTGAAGTTTTCAAAGCAAAGCCTCCCTGTGAAGTTTTGATTAAGCCCTGCTCAGAAGGAGACCACGAGCACAGCGTTGTGTTTTCATTGTCTGTGTTTTTATGTGGCTGTGAGTGCTCTCAGACTTGGCTGCAGTCAGTGGATGAGGCAGTCCGCTTGGTATGTGCTGATGAGCACTGTGGGTGGACCAAAGGGATAAAGAGGGAGTGAGGCAGGCAGTAAAACTGAAGTAACTGTTGCTATGCACTGAAAGATTTCTGGACATCTCTTTATGGCTTAATCCGTTACATGGTCAGGAAGTGGTGGAGAGAGTTTGAAATGTGTTTCCTCCCGTGCCAGGTTACATTCTGAGCTTGGTGCTCCTCACTCTGCCCCGTCAGCACCTTGTTAAACTCTACCTGTATGTTCTCACGGCCCTGCTGCTGTTTGCTGGACACCAAGTCTCACGGTAAACGCATGTGCACACACACACACACACACAGACCTATAAAGCTGAAAGCCAATCAGAATGTTTTCTTTGGCATCAGGCGCCAAGATTGTTTCCAGATGTAATTTCTAGCAACATTGTGAGATTTCCCTATTTTTTATCGATTCTCTGGACCTAATAAATTCTTGGTTAATCCCTGAGTGTTCACATGTTGTTTAACTGTTTCTTTTTTGGGGGGGGGTTATTTTTTCTTTTTCATCCAAAATATATTACTGTGAGTTTTCTCCTTGCTGAAGATATTGAGGTTGTGTTACATTGTAGGTCAGTTTTATGTTACTGTTCACAATAAATCTGCTTGCATGCTCAGCATTTTGAGGTCTCTTTCAGGGATTATGTTCGCAGCGAACTGGATTCTGGCTATGAAGGCCCGGTCTACCTGGAACCACTCTCCATGAACAGATTCACCACCGCACTCATAGGTACAGTCCTACACATAAAAGCATGAAGACATAATGTGTAGACACACTGTGTACTATGCACAGGCCTCAGCAGGATGCAGAAGTTCTCTTATTTCTCATGAAGTAAAAGATGTAGGATAAGCAGCTTTTGCTTTTTTTCAATATTGTAAAAATGTCCTGAGTGTTGTAATTATTGTCAGCTGGTCATTTTCAGAATGAATACCTCGGATCAATGGGCTCATTTAGTACTTAAAAAGCCTGTGAGTTTAAATGTTGCAATGTGTCTGGTTTATGAGACCTGGTTTCATTTTACCAGGAAATGGGGATGGAGTCTCCTGTGTTATAAATAGACCATACAGAGTGCTGACTTCACCATGCAATAAAAGTCTCAGAAAGGGAAAATAAGCCTGTAATAATAATGGATTGTTGCTGAGAGATGGGGCTAAAGTCCACTTCTTCTATTTATTTATTTTAATAGAACCTTTGTCTGTGGTAGTTCACTACTTTTGAACCTTTAGAAAATCTGATTCCAGCTGGTTAATAATTACCTGCAAAATTCCAAACAGTGCATGATAGAAAGAAGGTTAGAATAACAATGCAAGGAGTTTTTTTCATAGAAATTTCTCAGTGTGTGTGTGTGTGTGTGTATGTACTTGCATTGCCTTTCAGGTCAGCTGGTGGTGTGCACTCTGTGTTCCTGTGTGATGCAGACCAAGAGGATTTGGCTTTTCTCTGCTCACCTCCTCCCCCTGGTGGCCAGGCTGTGTCTGGTCCCACTGGAGACCATCGTTTTCATCAATAAGTTCTCCATGATCTTCACTGGGCTGGAGGTCATTTACTTCCTGGCCTCTAACTTACTGGTACCATATAACCTAGCCAAAACCGCCTACAGGGAACTGGCTCAGGTAATAACTTAAAATGTGGCCGAAAGCTGTACATGTTCCACACATTTCTGCCTTCTTAGCTGTTTGCCGTCATTCCCGTACACCTCTCTCCTCCAGGTGGTGGAAGTGTACGGCCTGCTAGCTTTGGGTATGTCTCTGTGGAACCAGCTCGTCCTTCCGGTCCTCTTCATGTGTTTCTGGCTCGTACTATTTGCTCTGCAGATCTACACTTACTTTAGCACAAGAGACCAGCCTACCTCAAGGGAGAGGCTCCTTTTCCTCTTTCTGACCAGGTAAGAAATTAGCCACACCCTTTGTGGTACATAATCTTAAAGCCGCTCTACTGATCAGCCACATACAAGCAAATTAAGTCACTGGGCATTTTTTAAAAATTAGGGTTACATATATTATATATAAAAATTCCATCTTTGAGAAGTCAGAAATTTCTCAGATGCTGTTAGATGACTACGGTGATCTAGTAATATGCTCCTTGGGTCTTAAATGGTGAGGACAGTGTTAAATGACCAGTCACACCATGATGTGGCCATCAGTGCAGCTCTTGGCTATGGCTGCTCAGTTGTGCCCTGATTTGTAAGCAGCACTCACTCTCTCCCCTCTTGTCCCCCACGCTGTCCTCCATTTGTGTCCTCAGTATTGCAGAATGTTGCAGTACACCTTATTCTCTGCTGGGTCTGGTTTTCACTGTCTCCTTCATTGCCCTGGGAGTTCTCACGCTATGCAAGTTCTACTTGCAAGGCTACAGAGCTTTTATGAACGACAACACCATGCACAGGTAAGTTGAACACGTGTGTGTTCTCTTTTATTTATTTATTTATTCTGCCCAGTCTGTGCTGGTATTTCTAGCATGTGTTTCCTTTTTCCCATCTGTACAGAGGTATGACAGAGGGCATCACCCTCCTCATCCTTGCAGTCCAAACTGGCCTAATAGAGCTGCAAGTCATCCACAGAGCGTTCCTCCTCTCCATCATCCTCTTCATTGTTGTTGCTTCAATCCTACAATCCATGCTGGAGATAGCTGACCCCATCGTCCTGGCCCTTGGAGCCTCCAGAGACAAGTAAGTCCGGCAGCATTACGTTTATGTCGCAGACCAAATGGCACAATCATAGCATCCCACTATGTAGATATTTGTATGCTCAAATGACAGGCGCCTTTCACTGGAGCCTCCATGTTGACACAGATGATGATGTTTGCCTTGTTTATCACTCACTCTGCTCCTGCTCTTTTAGGAGTCTGTGGAAGCACTTCCGAGCCGTGTCTCTGTGCCTGTTCCTGCTTATCTTTCCGGCGTACATGGCTTATATGATCTGTCAGTTCTTCCACATGGACTTCTGGCTTCTCATCATCATCTCCTCATCTGTCCTCACCTCGCTGCAGGTAATGTTCAAATGTACCACAGTTCATTCATAAAGCCTTGATTAGGTTTTCACATTTAGGGCTTTTTCCTTCCTTGATACACAAACACACAGGGACTTTCAAGTTAATTTCTGTTTATTTGTGTTTTTTTGTCTTTTTTTTTTGTTTGGGCCCAAAGTCACTTTGTTCTTCATGCAGCTTTTTATGTATTGAGGGCTCTAGAATGGGAAAACATTAGATAAACAATCAGAAAACCAGGCAAAAAGGAGAAGGGTATTTAATGCATATGCTTTGTTGTTTCTTTTTTTTCCTTTTTTTTCAATATATGTATTTGAAAATAAAAACACTCTGTCATCCCCTCCAGGTTCTCGGCACTCTGCTCATCTATGTTCTCTTCATGGTGGAGGAGTTTCGAAAGGCTCCGGTAGAAAACATGGACGAGGTCATTTACTGTGTCAATGGGACCTACAGACTGTTGGAGTTTTTGGTACAGGACACACTCGCACACACACTTTTCAGAAGCCACAAACCGTCCATCCCTCACCGTCTCTGATCCTCTGCCTGTCCAGGTTGCGGTGTGTGTGGTGTGTTACGGCGTGTCTGAGACGGTGTTTGGGGAGTGGAGTGTCATGGGCAGCACCATCATCTTGGTCCACTCGTACTACAACGTCTGGCTCCGAGCCCAACTGGGCTGGCAGAGCTTCCTGCTCAGGAGAGATGCTGTGAACAAGATCAAAAGCCTCCCCACAGCCAGCAACACACAGCTGGAGCAGTACAATGACATCTGCGCCATCTGCTTCCAGGTACGCTTTTGGGTTTACGAGCTGACTTCACAGCCAGCAGCTCCCGTAAAGCCACATGCTCATTTTGAATCTGATCCCTTGCAGGACATGAGCAGCGCTGTGATCACTCCGTGCAGCCATTTCTTCCACGCCGGCTGTCTGAAGAAATGGCTGTATGTCCAGGAAACGTGTCCCCTCTGTCACTCCCAACTCAAGAGCCAGTCGCCCGCCGCTGGCGGCCCCAACCAAGACCTCCCAGCAGCTAATCAGAGCCCCGCCGCGCAGGAAGAAGCCCCGGCCAACCGCGAGGAGAAGGACGCTGCTCCTTCAGATGGCGGGAGAGAAAGGGCATCGGGCGAGGGGGAGGGGGAGGGAGAGGGGGCAGCTTCTACATCAGCGGGAGGATCCTCCTCTTCCTCCGGCATGCCTCCTTCTCCCCTGAACCTTGTCAGCCCTCCATCATCATCATCATCCTCATCTTCCCCTTGTCCCACTTGTCCGCTGACGACTAATTCAGCGCAGAGTCAGTTCCTAAAAGCTCCCCTGCCTTCATCGTTGCCCCCTTCTTCTGACACATCCGACGTGTCCAGCCCGCCTCCATCTGGCCCCCCCACAGCCATCCTTCACCCCTCGCCCTCACAGGTACCCCCCCCTGCAGAGCCTGAGCCACACCCACAGGATAGCCAGGGCTCATCCACTGATCCGCCATCACATTCTGAGGACACAGCCCACCCCCCACGCACCCTCTGAGCCTCAATGCAACGCACACAACACACATGCATGTACTAAAACAGAAGAATCTCCACAATCCAAATACTCCATCTGCTTCTACCCGCCCAGCGCTCCGCTCTCCCCTCACGTGGCAAATCCAACTCTTTCACATCTCCTCCGAGAGGAAAAAACCCCCCAAAAGGGTCCGAAGCAGATTCTCACCACGCAGTGTTTTTAAGAGAAGTGACGATGCTTACAGTTTCACTGGGTGTCGGTACTGTTGAGACGGCTATCTGAAAACAGTTGATGTGTCCCTGATATGTCACACTGGCATCTTCTACTTTTCACCCCTTATTTCTGTCCTCATGGGGGACGCAGTAAACTAATCCCAGAAACGATTGGTAGAACTGTATCATCTGCAACAAATGTGAAATCTTGAAAGGACTATCAGGACCTCTGAGTTTGTTTTGTTTTGTTTTTGCTCGTACGTGGAATTTTTACACCGACAGTCGCATTTCCAGAATGACTCCATCGTCCTTACCAGGACGTGGATCTATTACTGCCAGATGTGTATATGCTCACTGGTCCCTCTTGCCTTGGTTTTGTGCGGCATCTCTTTCACGGCTGCACACTTTGGGGTTTTCTCTGTGGTCCTGCATGTGCCATGACGCGAGGGCTAGTGGACCGGAGGTCGACACGGCTCTGACAGGCGATTGAAACATTTCATGTAGTCGGCAAGATGTTGAGTTCAAACTATTTTGGTCGTTGCTACTGGAGACGGTAGCAGTGTGCACGTGTCAGGAAACGCTGAGCATTTATAGACTGAATGTTGTCTGTGAAGCCGTCACTTGACCTGAAGCCCGGTGCTAAGCAGAGGAAACAGGCTTTGGTTTCGTCATGTGTTCTGTATAAAAGTCAGCGGGCTCATTTGGTATGACTAATTAATTTCCTAGGTCAAGCTGTTGCTATTATACTGCTTCGATATTTGAATCAAACTTGTTTGGCTGGTCCCAGCAACAACAGCAACAAAAAAAGAAAAAAAGAAAAGCGGCTCTACTCCTCGTTGCCAAAGTTTTCGTATCGCTGTTTCCGAAATGTTGTTTTCAAGCTCATTTTTACAGCTCGGTGTCAGACAGGACGTAGTGCTGAGCAACTGGAAAGGCGGAGGGGGGGCCCCACGGCTCCTGTTAGAGCACGGTTAGACTGCTGGAGTGTGAATACACTCATCAGTACTCACCCCCCCCCTCAGTGAAACGTTACTACCAGCAAATCGAGCCATTTGATAGCTTTCCCCCCTGATCCCTACACATGGACGCTTCTTCTCTCTCTCTCACACACACACACACACACGCGCGCGCGCACACACACAAATCCACACCCACGCACGTCGGTGGAGCGGGACGATGAAGGAAAGACCAAAACTTGACACAGAGTTTGATGCACGCTCACATGTACAGCTTGCACGCTGCCACCCTTCCCACAGAGTTCATCTTTGTCCTTAATGTGCTCTAACCTTGCTACCAACGTTTTTCTCTTTTTTTTTCTGCCTTCTACCTTATTTTTACCTTTTTTTTTCTTCTTCTTCTTCTTGGGTGGGGTTGTATTTGCACTAATGTCATTTATACTAGCAACGCTCCAAAGCTGTTCCGTGGCTGTCGGCATCCAGACGCCCCTTCCGATGTTTGCGTAGGAGGAAACAGCCCGACCCGTTTGTCTGTGATGTCTGCGTCCAGCCAGAGGAGTGTTGATACCTTTTTATAATCGTGGGGGGGGGGGGGGTGTAAGTGTGACTCCTTCCCGGCTTCTGCGCGGGTTGGGTGCGAAGGGGGGGGGGGGGGGGGGGGAACCGAGCTGGTCTGAGACCAGCCGGTGTTACTCACTTCTCCGGTCCGCATGACGCGTCGTTTGGGCTGGCGTGATCGCTCCGGTGCCCGGTGCCGGTAGGAGCGGGATCAGCCAGGCGCCGACGGACAGGAGGCCTACCAGTTAACCCCAAACAGTATTACCGCCATCATAACTAGAGGTCTTATTACTCTGACTGACTTTAACTCCGGAACGCATGGGGCTGCAGGGCTGAGAATGAATACGCCGTGGGTGTAGGAACCGGCCGGGCCCATGCCGTCTCCCGTTTTTGGGTTTTTATTCTTAGTTTTTTCTTAAGAGATGAAATGTAGAGTTTGTATTTTGCACATGTCCCTCTGAAAGGTGAACATAGGACTTGAGGATCGGTTTATGTCTAACTTCTTTGTGTTTTCTTTGTTTTTTGTTTTTTTTAAATGACTCTTCTCTTTAGATTTTGGTTTCATATGAAGAACCCTGGGTGTGGGGACAGAGATTTAAAGGCTTCATGTTTCATGTTCCCCCCTCTCTTTCTGAGCTTTGGATGTGGAGCAGAGGGATTACCTGTGAGATGACATGTGTGAAGGTGATGACTGGCATTGGCAGTTCTGCGTGAAACGCATCGCAGCATTAAAACGATAAAAGCTCGTCACCCGTTGGTCCCACATGTGTTTTTACCCCGGCTGCTCTCACCAGACTATGAACTGTGACATATTTTTCATACTGTCTGGAACAGTTGAACCTCAGACGAGTAGACGCTCTTTTCGCTCGATATTTAGTCCAGTATTTGTATGAATCACCATGATTATCGATAGCCGTTGGACTCCGCTATACGTCCGGGATTGGGTGAGGTTTTAATGCATTGTTTGCATTCTGGGATTTTTTAAATTTATTTATATTTTTTTTGCAGCCGGATAAAGTTCATTTAAATGCAGCAGCGAGTGCTCGGCCTGTTAGCTGCTCGCTGCTGTGCCAACAGATGCATAAAACATGTCTGCAGCTCCTTTTGTCCAGCGGTACTCACTTTGGGCTTCAGCTCCTTTTTTGTCTGGAGCACTCACGTGTTTATTTTTTTGTCAGGTTTTGCATTGTTTGTACCAGCTCAAAAGATTTTCTTTTGTTTAATTGTCAGTCCTCATCGACTTGCTTTGTTAAGGAGGGGGGGGGGGGGGGCGCCAGGCCAGTGGTCTTGTGCTGATGTTCTGAGAGGTATTTTTTATTTTTAAATGGTTACCGCTGAACTTGAGTACCCAGCAGAAATAATGACCCAGCTTTGGTCATTGAGACCCAAGTTACTTGAAGTATGAAATCCAGATGTTTTGGAGACTGAAATTATTAAAATTCCAGGTGAAGTTATTACAATAGTAAGCAAATGCAGAAATTGTTTCTATTGCTGCCAATATCATGATTACTCTGTCAAGAGATTTTCTTTGTTTCTTTTTTCTTTTTTTTTTAAACAGCTACTTGAAGCTGCTTTCTGTGATTGACAGATGTGTGGATAAGGATCATGTTCAGACTCCCCTTGGATTTGCTTTCAGTTGTATTCTTTTATCTGGTTAACTCCAGCGCACACCACTTTAGGACCTGTTTTTCTGAGATATTGGCTCTGAGGGCCAGTTATGTCCTACTAGGATGTCCCACAGTCGGATCTGGACTGGATGCCTGGCATTGCCTTGGTTACTTTGCAAAAAGTGAATGTCTAATAAAAAAAGAACCATCCACTCCAGAAACTCTGACTCTGACTCTGATGCTTGGATGCTGATGTGTTACGCATGAGGGTGTGATGAATAATTATCTCTGTCATATACATGTTTACACACATTTTCGGACTTGAAACAACCAGTTACAGCATAAACGTGGCCATACAGAACACACTCATCTATTTTTCAGTCATCAGTTTACTCCTCTCTTAATCCCCTATGAAGTCTAAAACATTTATCCCTCTGAAAGAAAGAAAGAATATATAAAGATAGTAAACTGGCCATTGTTTGGCAGGAGGAGAAATGATGACCTTTTCTTAATACTACTTTTGGATCAACAGTGGTAAAGCATTCTTATATGGTCTTGTGTATAATAACTAGTGTTGAGGGACCTCCGAATGACAGACTGTGCAGTTGTTGGTTAAGTGACATGATACAACTTGGCATATTTGAAATAGATCTAATTTTGTAATTAAGAAATCATTTGGGTGTTCCACCGAATGTGGGAGCCTAGATCCCAGAATCCATCGCTCTCATCTCCACGCTGTTCCCTGTTCCAACGCAAGATGGCGCCGTTGTGTTATTTTTACTCTGACACGGAGGCCACAGCAGACACGAACGAACGCACACTCCAAACAACACAACTGTTCGGAAGTCATGGAGATTCGATGGATTTCTGAATAAATTTATCTATTCCTTAATCTTGCCTGTTGTTTCTGCTTTCAGAGACTTCCGGTTGTGCTCGAGTGTGTGCTTCTATTTTATTAACTGTATTACATATCGATTTTTTTCTCACACAATGACCACGTCAAGAATTAAATTAAGAAACTAAATAAAAAGATGCACGACTTAGTAATATATCCCACTTATGGCGCGCAGATCGATAAAATTGTATAAGTTCCACAACGTTTCCGGCTGGCTGAGTGGATCTACTTTAAATATGCAAAATAGCATAATTACTTAATGCTGTATTAAATTTGAATTGAGCTCATGTTTAAACCTTAGAGCTAAATGTTTAGAAGTAGATTTAGCCTGTCGGTGCTATCTCTAATAGAGGAATATTTCCTTAAATTTTGCTGTTTAAGAATTGAAGGAAACGGCGGAGGTGCAGGTGTCTCGGGTCGTGCTTCGGGCCCTCGCTGCTCTCCGCCGTGGAATTCCACGTCACGCCGCTTGTGTCTCAGACTGTGAGCGGGAAAGTGGAGCATGAAAGACTCTTCTCCTGCCTAATCAAGGTCAACAGCGCTTTTCAACAACCTTTGGGAATTGGAGCCTGGAACGTGGCCAGGTCGTCCTGCCAATCATTTTCACAGTCGGTTGAATTATACGAAACTTGTTGACCTCTTGCACCTCAGCAGATCAATGCGCCGCCGTTGTTTCCGCTCTATATGTAAAAAAAAAAAAAAAAAAAAAAAAAAAGACGTTATCTATTAAGATTTGTTTAATTTTGTTTGTTTTTTTATTTGGGTTCCCTCCATAGTCGGCGTGATAAATAGTTTCAAATAACAGATGGTACCAGAGGGAGAAACGAAGCAGGCAAATCTGTTAGCAATTATCCTTAATTATGTTCATTGTTATTTTGAGCTAATTATTGTTATTGTCACTTTTGTTTGCGTGTCTTGCGGCGCTCGACTGCGAAAATCAGGCCTTACGGAACACAATGGCGACCAGGAATAAGTTGTGACGATGAAAAATGGCTTTCATAATTGAGCGTTTAAAAAAAACAAGTGTAGATATCCGATTTTAGATCAAATTTAGAGAACACGTCTTGAAGTCGAGTTCAGTCTCGTGCAAGGTCTATATTTCTCTGATTTTCTTAAGAAGAAATTTGGAATTCAAATTATGACTTTGCTTGTGACGGGTTTTGTCTTTTTTTTTTCTTTTTTAAACGTGAACTCTTCCTCCCGGAGCGTTAGTCGTTTCTCCTTTTCACACTCGGCTCTTCACCGTGAGTAAAATGTTTGAGGTATTCAAATCTTATGGCCCGAAGGTGTCCGCCCCGCCGGACTGCCGCTGAGCTCTTCCTTTTTTGGGGGGGGGGGTTCTTCCACAGATTCTGGCCCCATAAGGCACACCTCTGCGTGGCGGATGATACAACTTTCCCGCTGTTGGCTTTTCTGTGCTGGTGTTTGGGGGAGTTGGTCTTTCTCCAGGAGGCTTTGGTTCGGACCGGACTCCGCTCTCGTCTTTTGTTTTGGGGGCGTCTTCTCCGTTTCGTCCCGTTCCTTCCCCTCCTCTTCACCGGGTCCCCTCCCTTTTTCCTCTTTCCCATCCCTCTCTCTCTCTCTTTCAACCTCTCTCCTTCCCCTCCCATCTCTCTCTCTCTCTCTCTCTCTGTGTGTCTCTCTCCCCCCGGGGCGGGAGAAGACCGTGTTTGGTTCTCGGAGAGGGTCCTTTGGGGGGAAGAGTCGCAAAGCGATTTTCCTCAGAGGAGGAAGCAGAGCTGCGAGAGCTCAGGAGCCATCCGCCACACAGACATACGCAGCGCAGCTCCGGACCCCCATCCCGTCTCATCCCATCCTGTCCCGTCCCGTAGCGTCCCGGACCCGCTGAGGCTGAGGAACAGAGAGCAAAGAGCAGAAAAAGAGGAAGAAAGAAGTGTCAGAGAATGGGTGACATCTGATCCGGGTGCTGCCGATCGATCTGTTTCCCCTCTGACACCTCCATCTGTGGACCTCGGAGCGCACCGGGAGAGACTTCTCGACGTCTTTAATCGCGATTTAAAGCAGTCATTTAAATGTTTGGACATTTTGGATCACGTTGCTCTGGTATGATATCCTTCCCCCGTTTGGTATCCACTTCCACAGCAGGACTATAGAGTCAAAGGAATAAAAAAAAAAAGCACAGTCCCCCGATTTGGCACCGAGGCGCACCACGCTGCTCCAATCCAGTCAGGATCACCAGGATCATCACCAGCCCCCCCCCAGAAAACAAGTGCAGGACAGAGAGCAGGAAAAAGGAAAACACCGGAAGGGGGCACGGACCGGGCATCGGGAGGTTGTGTTGATGTTTGGGATACAGGAGAGCATCCAGAGGAGCGGCAGCAGCCTGAAAGAGGAGCCGCTGGGAGGCATGAACGTCCGGAGCTGGATGCAGGGGGGCGGCGTGCTGGACGCCAACACGGCCGCCCAAAGGTGAGCTCTGCCCGCCTCAGCCCGCAGTCAGTAGGCTTCTGAAAAAGAAAAAAAAAAAGAGAAGAGAAGGGGGAACAACGTGCGGTTTGTCCGGCCGGGATCCTGCAAACAGGGCGCCGCTGTCCGGAGAAAAGAGTTGTGGACTCAACCACTCCAGCCATACTCTGGGAAATAAAGTAGAAGAATAAACTTTCGCTCCCGTTGACCAACAGTTAGAAGAGACACGCGTCCGCGCTCCACATTTACTCAGAATATACACTTACAATTAGATTGGGCAAAAAATGATGCATTTAGTTTAATTCTTGCTGAGGGTTAAGAATGAAGAAAATGTCCCCCTTTTTTTCTGAACAAACACATCTTTGTACTTTATTAAACGAATTCCGTCAGGGAAGGTGAATAAATCTGGACTTCTCTTCAAGAAAAACAACCTTAGCTATTCAGTTTGGGGGGGAATTCGTATGGAACGGATATTTATATTTTATGCTTAATTTTTAAGACTGTACAAAACATATTTATGCATATAATATAGATATTTAAATTGTCCCAAATGTGATTCAGATCCTACACAGAACGTGTGCACAAACTGGACTTACTGTTCCCCGCAGGGCCCTCGTATTGGCTTCTTCCTCTTTTTTTTAAACTTAACTTTAAAAAGCTCCTTTTTCATGGCCTTTCTAAGAGCGACTGCTTTGCGCCTGTGTGTCCGCAGCGGGGTGGGTCTGGCCCGGGCTCACTTCGAGAAGCAGCCGCCCTCCAACCTGCGCAAGTCCAACTTCTTCCACTTCGTCCTGGCGCTGTACGACCGGCAGGGCCAGCCGGTGGAGATCGAGAGGACCAACTTCGTGGACTTCATCGAGAAAGAAAAGGTCAGTGGAGAGACTGGAGCTCCTCTCCGGCACAGGATGTGCAACATTTAGATTTTCTACAGGCCTGATTATTCATTTGTGCTATTTAGTATCCGTAACAACAACAATCTAAATGATCTAACATTTTTCTGCAATATTATTTTTATTAGTAGTAGTATTGTTGTTATTTTTAATACAGTGATTATCATTTTTATTATCAAACGCGCATGGAACGAAACAGAACATGTTGTAACCGACAAACCACCCCTCTGTCCGTGGTCATCTGACAAATATCAGTGACTTTTTTTGCACGCTTAAAACGTTCAGTATTTACGGCTCAATTTAACGCCACCACTTGTTCTGGGTAAACAATGGCGAGGCGACCTCTTCATCAGTTTTGACATCGCAATGCAGCGCCAGAATTTAGGGGGGTTGGATTTATTTGTCCCTGCAAACACAACCAGTAATTACAGAGGAATTAAAAAATCCACAATAACACAGTGATTGCACACGAGGAAATTACAGGGCTCGGCATCTTGAATATATCAGCCGTGGATGTAAATCAATATTTGTGTTCAAATATAGCTGTCGTGAATAATCTGGTTGTGTGACTGTGCGCGGCCTGCGAGGTGGAAAGGTGTCTTAAAAGTGTCCGGAAATGTACACAGGCAGCTCAATGTTTGTTGTGTGTGTGTGTGTGTGTGTGTGCGTGCGTGTGTGTGTGTGTTAAGGAGACAAGCGGAGAGAAGACCAATAACGGGATTCATTACCGGCTGCAGCTCCTCTACAGTAACGGTGAGTTGCAAACCCACGCGCGCGTTATTCACAGTCAATCGGACTAAATCCGCTTGATTGCATCCTCTGATTAATTATGCACACAAGCAGATCACTTTTTTCTTTTTTTTTTTAAGACTTAATGTAGAAAAAAGGCCCCCATCCTCAGAGCGGTGAGATGAGATGTTGCAACAGGCTGCCAGAACCTGTTTATGTCACCCAAACAGCAGAGCAGTTTCATCACAGCTATTAGTCAAGTTTCAGCCCAGCTGTTGAGGGCGTTTGCTGCAGCTTTGTGCCTTTATCTCTGTCACTGTCCCTGAATCCTGCTGTCCGGCCAGAGGGGGGGGGGTTCTGACAGTTCCAACTGCAGTCTGACTCCTGTCACACAGGGTCAAGCCACAGCCACAAAACCTGGCCTTCACTCAGTCATACTGAACACTTTCTGAGATCACAATTAGCAGTGGATGCAGCTTTTTTACCATTTATTTTTTTAATTTTTTAAAATAATTATTTTAGTAATATTTTCCATATTTACATAGTGGGGAAAGTGAGTGATGAAACTAATCTTCCCATAGAACCCATTATGTCATTTCATGTGTCAGATTACATATGATAGCAGGCCAACCAGATTAAACTGATTTGTTCTTCCCTTAGAATATTTTACTATATTCTTTTTCCTAGGCCTATATATATATATATATGAGTTATATATATTCTATTTTTTCTATTTTTTTAATTTACTATCTGTCGAGTACATACATTTTCATGAAACTGTTCTTTATTCTTTATTTTAATAATTAACTAAATGCATGGAAATGTAATATTTAATTTGATTTAATATGATATATTTTTTCACTGTGCTCTTCAGTTAGTAAGTGTAAAGCTAATGATTTTTTCTCCTCTCCTGGTTCCCCACAGGCATCAGAACAGAGCAGGACTTTTATGTTCGACTCATAGACTCCATGACTAAACAGGTAAACACACACACACTCTCAGCAGCCTGTCACCTCTCCCGTTACATCTCTGACAATGAGTCGCTCCACTGATCCGCCGCCCTCCTTTATCTCCATGCACCCTCACACACAC